GGGGGGGGGGCCCGGGGGGCACCCCTCCCCCCCCCCGGGGGGGGGGGGGCCCCCCCCCCCCCCCCCCCCAAGTAGCACCCCATGGCACAGCACCAGCGCATGGATGCACAGACACCCCCAAAGCAGGGTCCCCCCCAGCCCGCGGGATTGCCAAGACCGGGCTGGTCCCCACCAGGGAGAAGCCCCTTTCTGGGGTGCTAGGCCAAAGCGGGGGGGAACATGTCCCCGGCAAAGGGGGAGCGGCACCAGCCCGGTCGCCCCCTCTGCCGCGGCACAGCAGCCGGTGCGGGCCTGGCCCTGCTGCGGCGCGTGGGAGGACGAACAATTGAAGCTCCAGACGTGGGCTCCAGCGCTGGGGAAAGAGGAAAAAAGGGATCCCGCTCCAGAACAAACTTGGCCGGGAGAGCAGCTGCGGTGGGAGAGGGCGGGGGGCTGGCAGCACCGAACCCCCATCCGCAGCGGACGGGAGCGGGGTGGGTCTCGGGACACGCAGGGACACAGCAAAGCCACGCGAAGGGGACGGAGCGGCTCCGCTTCCCCCCCCTGCAGCCACCCCAGGACAGGGACACAGCTGCACCATCAGCGCCGAACACTGCTGCTCCAACAGCCCCAGATGAACCCAGCGGGTAAAGCCCCGGTCTGGCCCCGCGTCAGAAACGCAGCTCGGACCTGAGGGCACAGCGTGCCCCACCGGTCCCCGCTGCTCCCCTGAGCTGGTCCTGAGAGACGGGGACAGAACCCCCCATGGCCACCCCAAATGCACCGGGGCAGCCCTGCTCAGCTGCAGCCCCTGGCACAGCCTCACCGGGACCCCCCCCCCTGCAAACGCTGTGGATGCTCCAGCATCACCCTCTGGACCGTGACGGGGAATGCACGCCAGAGATGGGGGGGACGGAGCAGAGCACAGGGGGACAACCCCCCTGTAAACCCAAACAAGGCCCCCCCAGAGCGAACCGGGGACAAGGGGTCCTGGCACAGAGCAGAGCCACACAGGCGGCCCTGGCACAAGTGCCACCGGCATTGGACACTGGTACGGGGCTGGTGGGAGGTTTGGGGGTGTCTCTCCCCCTCACTGGGAATTTCACACCGGTACAAAAGTGAGCAAAGGGCCCAAGGGGGCTCGGGGGGTTCAGGCCAAGCCGGGTGAGCCCAGCCAGTGCCTGGAAGGACTTGTTGCACTGTGGTGGTGGGGGGGGTAGGTTTCCCCCCACCAACGCACCCTGCCGAGAGGCGCAGGTGGCCCCGGGAAGCCCCGGGATAGGGCCGGCCGCGTCAGCGTGCCGGGGCCCCAACCACGTCACCGAGGGCTGGGAGCCAGCACGGAGCCACCCCCGGCGGGGGCTCAGGCCCCCCCTCGGCCGGGAGAGAAGGAAGAGAAAACCCAGAGGGGAAGGCGAGCCCCCCACCCTGGCTGGCACTGGCAGTTTCACTTCTTTTCTCTAAGCAAATCGTGGGGTGGGGGGGGCTGGGGCGGGCGCCTCTGGGTGCCTTCTGGCCTTGGGGTACGCAGGTGTGCACCCCGCAACCGCCCGGGGGGACTGCGGGAGCTGGGTCTGGACCCCCCCCCCCCCCCACCAAACCCACCTTCGCCCCCAGCAAAGGTGGTGGGTTTGCAAACAGGGAGGTGGGCGAGGAGCCAGAGTCTGGGTGTGTGTCCTGTCCCGTCCCCTGACAAAACCTCTGCCCACGCAGCAGGGACAGGCCCAGAACTCCCGGGGGAGCGGGGACAGAGCTGGGCACACCGCAGCCGCCTGCCCCCGGCCGTGCACTGCCAGCACCCCCCCGCACCCCCCCACGCTCAGCCAGCCCCTCTGTCTCTGCAGGGTTTTGTGGCTGACCGGAGCAGGGCAGGGGTGGGGGGGACCTCCCCCAGGTCCCCCAGCGGTACTGGCTGTCCCCCACCCCTGCAGGGTCAGGCAGGAGCAAACTTTTCCCCCGCTGCAGAGACCCTGCAAACCCGCAGGGCCACCACCCTGACTGGCAGCTGTCAATCATTCAGCCCCCTCCCAGCCAGGGGGAAGATGGGGGCTCTGCCACAGCCCCTTGCCATGGGCCTCAGCCCCATCCTGCCTGCCAGCCCCCTGCCTGCTCCCTCTGCTGCAGGCAGGAGCAGGGCAGAGCCCTGGGGTGCCTGTACCTGCTCCAGCACGCTCAGCTGTGCAAGGAGAAGCAAGTGGCCAGTCGTTACAGGGAAAAAAATTATATAAAATGCAAAGGCTTAAGTGATTCCAGCATCGGGCTCCACGGGGGCCGTTGTGGGGAGCGATCCTGTGCAAAAGGGGGGGGGGGTGTCGGTTCTAGCTCAGGGGGCTGCCGGGGCTCCCCAGCCCCTCTCTGCCTATCCTGACCACAAACACCTACAGACCCAGGGGCGACGTGACGGACCGAGAAACCCGAACCCCGGCAAGCTCGCACCACAGAGCCCCAGCACCGTGCGCCGTCACAGCATTCAGGCGGCACGGCTGGTCGAGGCAACCCCGGCACATGGCAGATGCCAGGGGCCTGCAGCAGCCCCCTCCCATGCGAGACGCGGAGGCAGCCGGGCTTACCGCTGGGCTTGCACATCCGGATCTGGCTTTGGCACTGGACGACGGGGTGCAGGGGCGGGGAGGCCGTGGCCGCCGGCAGCGGCTCTGAGGTAGTTTTGGTGGCGAGGTCCGGGGAGGCGGGGGGCGAGGAGGAGGAGGAGGAGAACTGCGTCTGGCAGCGGAGCTGCGTCAGGGACTGGGGCATGCCCTGGTAGTGTCGCGTGGCGCTGAGGAGGTCGTTCAGGATCTGCAGGATGGTGCCGATGTCCCGCCGTGGCCGCCCGCTGCTGTCCTGGCAGTTGGGGTGCAAAGTGCCTGTGGCGGGGAGGGGGGGGAGAGGCAGGTGTGAGATGAGCAGCTCCCCCAGACCCACATACCCCCCCTCCGGCCCCTTCGCCGCAGCCCTCAGGGAGGTTCAGCATCACGTACCGGAGAAGGTCCCTGAGAAGACCCCAGGCGCGTGGTTGACGAAGCTCTCGATGACCGCACCGGGTTTGCGGGATCGGGCCGTGGGGGCAGGACTGCTGCCGGGGGAGCTGCTGCTGCGGGTGCTGCAGTCCACCTGGGTGGGTGGGACAGAGACGGGATCAGCCTCTGGGCAGGGGACCCAGGTGTGATGGGGCACCCCCCCACACCAACCGCCCTGCTCCAGCCCTTTTGCCCCCCACAAACGGCTGGGTCAGGCCAGGAGACCCCCACGACAGCCCCAGGCAGGGAGCAGGGTCCAGCAGGCACCACCAGCCCCAGTTTTACTGGGACACAAGGGACTAGGGCTGTCCCACCTCTCTGCATTGGTGTCCCCGGCCCTGGGGGTCCTGGCAGTTACCCTCCCCTACCCCGGGCCAGCTGTGCTGCACAAGGGAGAAAGGGAAGCGGCAGCAGAGAGGGCTGGCAGGCAGCTCCTGCCCAGCTGTGGAGACAGGCAGGATCTGAAGACGAGCACAGTAAGAGCCTGGATTACAGCCTGTCCCCGAGCCCCTCCCCGGGACCTGGGGGCACTTTGCAAAGCAGGCAGGGAAACACCCTCGTTCCACGCGTGGGGAAACTGAGGCAGGGAAGGGCATCGCCACAGCAGGGCTAGGAATCGCACGGCTTTGCTCCCCTTGCCCTCAGGCCCAACTCACCTCTGAGCAGGAGGAGACCACGCTGCTGTTCACTGTCTGCGTGCTGGCCCCGTGCGACCGGAACATCCCAGCGGTGACGGGAGCGGGGTGGGGGGCATTACAGTACATGGGGGGTGCCGGCGCAGAGGGCGCAGGGCTGGGGGCCGGGTTCTGCTGGCACGCGGGCACCACGGGGATGCGGGCAAAGCCGGAGCCGGCGCTGCCGTGCAGTGTCCGGCAGTGGGGGCTGGCAGTGGCACCAGCTTCGCCCCGGCTAGCAATGACGTGCCGGTGCTGGAGCTGCCCGCTGCTCTGCTGAGCCGCCAGCTGGAGCTGCACGAACATCATATGGTCACCCACACGCAGGGCCAGGGTCAGCGGGGACCGTCCCGACAAGAAGTCGTTGACCTGGGGGAGAGAAGAACCCCGGTCAGCCCCGGCACGCAGCAAGCCCACCGCACAGAGTCCCCCCCGATGCCAAAGAGGGGGACAGCTGTTGCCCCCGCAGGTCTCACCAGGGCCACACAGCCATCAGGATGGGTCATTAGGGCAGCAAAGGGGTGACCCCATCCCCACAGCCCTTCCCCAGGCCCTCGGCTGCGCCAGCCCGGCAGGCAGGCGAGCCCGGCCATCGTCCCCACACGACCCCAGCCCGGTGCCAGCTCCATCAGCTGACAGCGCCGGGGGGGGGTTATTTTCCTCTCTCCTGCCCTTCCCGCCCTTTATCACCCAGCATGAAGTGGCCGTGCCATGCCCACCCGCCCTCCCTCCCCGGCAGTGAACCCACCGCAGCCAGGGTGCTCCCGCCAGTGCCCGGCGGGCAGGGCCAGGCAGGGCCAGGCAGGGGCTGCAGCCGGGGCTGCCGTGTAACCGCACACCCACCCCCGGGGCCAGCCCAGTGCCAGCATGGAGGGGGTGTGGGGGGGTGTCCCCCCCACCAGCACAGGGAGCAAACTCCCTTGGCAGGAGGATGGGGAGGGGGCATGTGAGGACATGCCGGGTCCCTGCCATGCCCACTGCCGTGACTTGGGGCTATCAGGCAGGAACGGGCAGCCCACCTCCCCCCTCCTTCCCTCTCCAAACACAGCCTGGGAGCAGGGGGGCAGGCCCGGTGGAGCGGCTGCACAGGCAGGATTTGCCCCTGCCCACCCGGAGGCCTCCGTCGCAGGCAGGTGATGGAGCAGCTGCAGCGCGGAGACAAGAGCAGGGGCCTGACCCTGCCCAGGTTGGGACTGTGGAGGGGAGGGGGGGCCCCCACTCACCAACACCTG